GAAGTGAAAAAAGAATTAGATAGATTACATGATCAGTACGTACTGGTCCCTGCTGACAAAGCAGGTAACAACATTGTCTTTGTTTGTAAGGCTCATTATATTAAATGTATTTTAGAGGAACTTGGATTTAATTCTACAAGTGGTAATCCAACTTATACTCATAGTTCCCTTTCTAAAGAAGAAATTCTTCAAAATCATATGTCAGTTTTGAATATTTTTAATATTCCAAACAACCAAAATGAATTCGAATTACCATATTTATATTGGATTCCGAAACTTCATAAAAATCCTTACAAACAAAGATACATAGCGGGTTCCAGTAAATGTTCAACCAAGCCTCTATCTTTACTCCTCACTAAGATATTAACAGTGGTGAAGGAGAAACTTCAAGAGTACTGTGCAACAATATATTCGAGAAGTGGTGTAAATCAGATGTGGATACTTAAAAATTCCAAGGAACTTTTGGAAAATTTGAAATCACAAGATTTTACCAAAATCAACAGCTTAAAACTTACGACTTTTCAACTTTATACACAACCATTCCCCACGATAAATTAAGGTCCAGGTTTTTTGATATCATTGACAGCTGCTTTTTCAATAAAAATGGAACTCGTAAATATACTTACCTTGTCATTGGTCATTTGCAAAATTATTTTGTTAAAAACATTCTGATTGTACACACAAGTACTCTGAAGTTGACATTAAAAAGATGCTTGAGTTTCTGATTGACAGTATCTATGTGGTTTTTGGAGACCAGGTCTTCCAACAATATATTGGAATTCCTATGGGTACCAATTGCGAAACACTTGCTGTGGCCTTCAACTCGACATTTAGATATATCGACGACGTATTGTCAATCAACAATGGCTATTTTCATTCTTATATCGATACGATATATCCTGGTGAACTTGAGATAAAAGATACCACAGAGTCTGACACATCTAATTCATATTTGGATATTTTACTTGAAAAAGACGTTAATGGTAATCTAACAACCAACCTTTATGATAAACGTGATGACTTTAACTTTTCAATCGTCAACTTCCCTTACTTATGCAGCAATATACCTTCATCACCTGCATACGGGGTATATATCTCTCAGTTGATTCGATACGCAAGAGCATGCTCTACGTATGTACAATTTCTAAAACGAGGTAAATTATTGACAAATAAGTTGATGAAACAAGAATATCAGCTGTCTCGTTTTAAGTCATCATTTCGGAAGTTCTTTGGTCGATACAATGACCTTATCAGCAAATACAATTTATCATTGAGTCAAATGCTGACTGACGTTTTTCATACTAATTGTTAGGCCATTATTTACACACTGTATTGTCGACGGATTTTTCCGTTATTTCCCGATCACATCTTCGCTAGCCAAGGGTTTTCGGTCCACTCCGCTCCCCATAAACCCTTGGCAGATTTCATTACGAAAATACGGTGATGCGGTGGCGCTATCTAGCGACTAACTAGAGTTGCGCCCCTTGAAACTTCATTTTCTTATCCAATGAAATAATGGGTTACATACACGCTACGGCAAAACAACAAAAGTGAAAACATGTTGACTGACGAATCAAGGAAAAGAGTTTACGACACTTTTAAAGTAAAATTACGAGAAAACCAAGAGAAAGCAATTAATGCTGTGTTATTAAATCGCGATGTGTTCGTTGGGACCCGCACCGGGAGTGGAAAATCGCTGGTATATGAAAGCATTCCTGTCATAAAACCAGGTATCGTCGTCATTGTAGCGCCTCTCTTGTCAATAATGAGGGAACAAGTTGAGAAATTGAACAACTTTGGACTTGCTGCCACTTACATTGGGAAGAACGTTGAGGAAAATGAAAAAATAGAGGCGGGGCAATACGATTTCGTATTTGGTAGCCCCGAAAGACTGATTGGTGAGAGGCGGTGGAGAGAAATGTTCAAGTCAGAGGAGTATAGGAGGCGGCTACAGTTGTTAGTTGTGGATGAGGCCCATACAGTAACACTTTGGTATCTCATAATGATTTTTATTTCTTTTATAATGTGTAGTTTAGTGTACAAATGATATAAATGCATAATGTATAACATGTATAATGAAGGAAATGTAACTAGTACATCATGTCTATAAAGGCAAGTACAGTCTTAGTAGCATGTACCTCAGTCCTCATGTAGTCCTATCAGAATCAAACAGTTGGGACACTAACTCTATATTGCTCAATAGCTTCATTGTTATGATTAAAAGGTCAATTGCTTTAATAATAGTTTTCAAACATGCATGCATGCATCAACATGCTTATCTAACAGCACTGGTTGATTTTAGCATATACATTGGGAATTAGTTCACAAAAGTATTAAGTTTGTGCCTTCCTGATTACATATATCTTGTATCACGTTGATTAAGGTCCTGTTTAATCGAAAGTCCCAGCTATACTTTTTATTATGATGTTGATGATCTCACCTTGGATTATCGTAAATTTCTTGTGACAGAGCAAACAAGTATTTACAAATTAATACCATATAATACATTTGAAATTATTAAACACCATATACATGTATTTTAAGAATCTTGCATGTCATGGAGTTTATACATATACTTCTTTATTCTAATTAGCATAATAATTTTTTCAGGGGAGAGGGAAGGACAGATGAAGATCCTTTCAGGGAGTGGTTTTCAAAGATTCAGGAGCTGCGATCTTTGTGCCTCAATGTTCCTGTCCTTGCTCTTACTGCAACTGCTGGACCAACTCAGAGGAGGAAAAATTTTAAAATGTCTATGCTTTCGACCAGGTTATGAACTTGTTCTTGATTCGCCTGATAGGAGAAACATTAAGATTACTGTGAAACCCATTAAAAATAATGATACTATAGACAAAGTTTTTGATTGGCTTATTAAAGACTTGAGACACCACAGAGAACAGTTACCAAGACATGTGGTCTTTTGTAATAGTATAAGTGACGTTACACAGATTTATTTTGCATTCATTAAAAACTGCAGACAAAATAGATCAAACTTTGAAATGTTTCATAGTAAAACTGATGACGAAATCAAAAACAAAATTAGAGAAGATATGGCTACTGAAGGTCACATTAGAATACTTATTTGTACTAATGCAGCCGGAATGGGTGTCAACTTCCACCAAGTACATAATGTTGTGCACTATGGGATACCCAGGGAGTTGGAGACTTTCGTGCAACAAATGGGTAGAGGTGGGAGGGATGGAAAACCTTCACATGAACTTGTATTGTTTAAGGCACATAAAGGTTACTTAAAACATGTTGAACCAGAACTTGTTCGAATTGTCAAAGATAACAGTGTATGTCGAAGAAATATATTATGCAATGCTTTTCAGACGAAACATTGTGAACTAACACCTTTACATGCATGTTGTGATGTGTGTGAGAAAAAGTGTAAATGCCAATTGGATACCTGTCCAGAATCGCATGTTGCCATGAAAGATGATGAAGAAGGAGGATCTTCCGAAGATGAGATGGAGCGAAATGTTTCAGTTGAAGAAAGACGTCTTCTGACACAAAAGTTGGAATCCTTACAGTTTACATTGTCTGACAGATCAAGCGGTGGGCTTCTTAATTCAGAATTAGTCCATGGATTTACAAAAGAACTAGTGAAAGATATTGTTTCTAAATGTCATGTTTTGTTTACTGCAGAAGACATTATGCATAAATTCCCTATTTGGTCTTTCTGTGTAGCTCAGGAGATTTGTAAAATAATACTTGATGTATTTGGAGACGAAACAATGTACAATTTAGTAGACAGTGATAGTTCCACATCAGAAAATTGACTGTTGGAAAAAAAAATACTAATATTGCAGAACAGTGCAACTATAAAGTCATGTATGAACATCTTTTCATATTTCAGTTCAAGCATTACATTTTGTAAACTGTTTTTTCCACATTGGGACTCCTTTTATTAGTATTATTATTATTATTATTAATTTTTTGCTTTGTGATATTGTCAATAAAATTATGCCTCAAATTAAAGTTTTCAGACTAAACAAAATATTCTAGGTATTGAAAAAAGTGTTTTAGATATTTAAAGTTTTGCACATCTATATATTAGATGTTTGAAAACAATTAAAGAAAATAGAGAGCTAACAATAATAGAAAGTTTAAAATGAAGGTGGAAAACAGACCTAATGAAGAATGGAGTGATAAACAGGCCTACCAGGCCCCAGGATCATGAAACAGACTTAGAAATAAGTCAAATTTTTAATCGCCTGTAAAATGTTTATTGCTTAATAATTATTGAATTCAATATCAAAATTTGCAAATTACAATAATTTTGAGAATCAATATTGAAACATATTTTAATTTTGAGTTGCTTGACTTCCACAACATTTAAGTATAATATAAAAATTTGGACTTGAGGTTAAGATGTTTCATGATCCCGGGGGGCAGATTTGTAAAAACCAAAATATCTTCAGATCAACTTTATAATATTTATTGGTAACAAAGAGAGAGAGAGAAAAAAAATATCATTGATGACCTTGTGCAATGATAGACATTAAAATTTATTCACTTTGACCCTGTGACACCAGATCTCCCAATTGTTTTTATTCTTTGACCAATTTTAAGGTTCACTGACCTTTGATAAGGGAGACAACTCTAATTGGGATGATAACTATTAAACTTTCCTATATAAACTTTGGAAAGGTCATTTCAGTCTTTTGCAGTATGAGGTTTGCTAAAGTTGTGTGTTTTTTGTTGGAAGATATATTTTGGAAAATCATTAGCTCAAAGCTTAAACTATATGAACTATTAAAGCTTAATCATATGACCAACTTCCTCAATTAAAAAAAAAAAAAATCATGTTCATATTTTTTTTAATAAAGGTTTAGACTTCAAATACAGGGTAATAGCTTTCCCACAAGCATATACATATATCCACTCCCTCTAATGTAGAAATGACACTGTAATAAATATCGAACAGCTTCTTTAAAATGCTAGCAATAAAGTAACAGTAACAATGCTCAGGTCAACAAATAATCTTGATTACATTTCTAACTGAGCACTTCGTAAGACAGTCTCTCTCTATTTTCTGTAATCCAGGCATGCAAATCTACAACTTTAATGCGAGAGGAAAAGTCAATAAAACCTGGGAAATTAACAAATTCTCTACCAGGAATGTAGTCGAACATTTTGGCATTGTTCAGTTCAGTCACCATTTCCAAAATGTCTGAGATTTTATTTGCTTCAGGTCTTCTTGATCCTGATTTTTTCTTATTGCATTGTGTTTGCAAATTCTCTTTAATTTCTTCTTGAATTTGAGTTGTGAGTGCAGCTTTCTGAACACTGGCATATGTTGCATTGGCTCCTTGAGAGTAAATTTTTTTCTTCACAGTTTGCACCATAATTTCTAGTAAATTATCATTTGGAATGTTCTTTCCCACACCCCCTTGCAAATTTGCAGAGCAATTCCACTGATACTCATAGGCCATTTTTGGTGATAAGATGCAATTGATGTAGGCCAAATACCTAAACAGCCATAACTGATACTTGTTGTGTTTTCCAACACGGGAGAGAAGCATCTGAAATTTCGCATTGGTTGTCACTCTGTTCCCATCTCCCATTTTATATGCGTCATTTGTGTCTCGGAGAAGCAATGCGCATTTCATAAATGATGCTCTGTATATTGCAATGTGGTCCCTTCCAGAAGTAGGTGGTTGATCTTCATAATCAAAAGAGAAATCATGGACTTTTTTCAAATGTCTCTTTATTCCACCACTTGTTTTGTACTGCTTATCACAATTTGGGCACACATACTTCATCTCATCATTATCAAAGAGGTCCTTCATTTGATTTGCTTCTGCATCAAGTGCGCATGTTTTCTCTCTGATGTCATTGATATCTATTGCATTTAAAAAGAAAGAAGAAGAAAATTCTAAACAAGAAATCAAGTTAGATGATGTTGAATCATAACATTAAAGTGCCAAACACACTACAGCAAATGCAGCAGTGCTCTTTAAAAAGCGACCATTGTATTTCTTTTCTCCAAATCTTAAACCTCAATTTTATTTTACCCAATTATTTCTTAGGAAGAAATATCATTTTGTTGTATGCAACTGCAGAAAGACCAGCAAAAAATTAAGTAAATGAAAGATATTCAATTATTTGTACCATCAGCAATCTTCACATATTTGTCAAGAATATCCTTTGCTATTCCATGGATATATGTGTACTTCTCCTGATCAGAAAGAAGATGGAACAATGGCTGGTGGCCTACAGGTTCATCTTGCAGATCCTTGATCCCCATCAAATGCATGTAAGCACCCACAATAAAGGAATCCAAGCAGTCATCCATCCAAGCATAATGAGATCTACAATACAAGTACATGTAGGCAAACATTAATTTAATTCTCCACATCAAGAAGGGAGTACTAAAAGAAATGTTTAAATTATATTACAACCTGTACTTTTGGATAACTTCTTCCGGACCATGGACATCAACTCTCCCCACTGTATTTCTCAGGTGACTCAATGTACCTGGCTCTCCTGCAGATGACACTCTGTAGAACTGTTGATAAATGAACTGTAAAATACAAAATAATAATAATTAATTTTTAAAATACGCTAATAAAATATCCACTGTCATTTAATTCAACAATTGTGTGACAAATATGATGTAAATGATGGAAAAAAAATTTGAATAAAACTTGAAAAGACATAAATTTCACTTTAACAAAGTTTAAAACAATGCATTATTTCTGTATTACCAATAATTTTCACCATATTTTTTGGAAAAAGGTTGGACTTTGAATGATTGAAGTAGTATATATGTAGTAAATGTATTAGTAATGTCTACAAATCAAGAATGAGTTAATGGTAATTAGTAATAAACAAAGAACACTGAACTGTTATAAGCACTATCTCTTAACATGGCTGAAAAAATGTAAGGCAAATAATAATAAACTCATATATCCTCTTAAGCTAAAAGGATAAGAGCTGTATCTCAGCTGAATGAATAAAGAAGTCATGCCTTTTATAAATTCATTAACTGGAACTAAACCAACACACTGATACCAGTAGCAGATTCATCATCCTATGTAACCCTTCAGGTCGGTGAATGACACACTGAAGTTTACTGAATTCTGTCATACCATTGTGAAGTGCTAATTGGGCAGCATATGCTCTCTCATTGGTTAATACATCGCCTCCAAATACCCTCTTCTTTAGGTTTGAAGGGGTATCATTATCTAAATCTGATCTTGCAATACATTTTTCATGAATATATTGTAGTATATCAATCATTTCTTCTGACTTATTCTCACTTTTGTCTAAGAGGTCAATAATGGCATGGTCAGATTTTCTACAACTAGCGTTAAGGTGGGGATGATTTATGTATTGTGGAATGCATGACTTGTACCTATTAAGACTGTCCACATACTTGACAAGGACCTGCATAATATGGTGCATAAAATGGTTTTCAAGGAAAGCAGACTCTTCCAAGTTTGGAATAAACAAACTGTTTTCCACTTGACTGATGTCAGCAATAGGATGTGTGTCATCAAGTGTAGGATCTACAACTCTTTTTTCTAATGCCACAAGCAGAAACCAGTGCCAGCTTTGTCGTCTTCGGTCAACACTCATTTGAGATGGACTACGTGTTATATCAATATTGTCACCTATAATGTCACTTGACTTACTGAGTCTCTGTGTAATTTGCTCATCATCCTCTGCCGGCTCTGTAAGCAATCTTTTGATATGCTGCTGTTGTCTGCTGAGTAGGTGATGTTTTCTTTTTGCTGATGAAGATGCAGACACACACATGCCCATCTTTGACAAAGTATCTATAGTCTTTAAAAAAGAAAAAAAAAACTTTAAAGCACAATCTGAGCAAAAGAGATTAAATTTTGATTCTATGTCAATTATTAATTTCAGGTACTCAAACTTCAGAAAGTTGACATGATTATATTTAAAATAGATCGCAAATCTAGTATGAAATTGAAGTTATCGATTTAAGTCTACATGAGAAAATAAAATTTAGTGTGACATTGTACAGGACTGATAATTCAAACTAAATAGAACCTTGTTTAAGGAGCTTATATCAGAGAAAAACTGTTGTGAGTAGGGTTAATAAATGTTAACCACTAGATTTTTTTTCTTACATCATCAGTAGCTCCACCATGGTCAAGAATCTGGCCTATGACATGTTGGAAAGCAGACATATGTGTGTTGCTGGATTTCAGCAGTACACATGAAGCTACAATGGCTCCCATGGCATTTTTATTTGTTAATGTTGTCATGCATTGGTGAAACAAAGGTGCCCACAACTTTATTTCCTCATTCACTTTATCAAAACTAAATGTAGCCAGACTTTTGCTATCTATTTGTCTAAGCAAAGAACAGTTAATACTTGATGTCAGTTTCCCAATTTCTTCCTTTAGTTCTTTCATAATTTGGTTGTTGATTCCTTCTTTTAGAGGTGAATTGTAGATAGCCCGAGCTGTTCTCTTTGGTGCATTGTGGATGGTTAAACCTCTGACAATTTCACTTAATTGACAATCTTTTACCAGTTTTGTTCTTACTTTCATTGTTTTCTTTGTTTTGTACACAACCTGTAAAATCATGATAGATTATATTGAGAAAAAGAAGTGGATATTTTTTTTTTTGCTAGCATTATTACCTGACAAATGGAGCTTTAAAATGTTGTTCTATATATATATATATATATATATATATATATATATATATATATATATAAAAAGCACTAAAAACCAACAACACTGTATATCCGAAGTGTCGGATCTACTAAGTAGATACAAGGTCACGGATGGAAATTTATATAAAGCACTAAAAATGACCAACGACACGAACAATAATAATTGTTATTGTTCGTGTCGTTGGTCATTTTTAGTGCTTTATATATATATATATATATATATATATATATATATATATATATATATATATATATATATATATATATATATATATATATATATATATATATATATATATATATATATATATATATATATATATATATATATATATACATACATACATACATACATACATACATACATACATACACACACACATCAATGATGCACTTTAATAATCATAATGTATTCAATTTCAAATTCATCAGTTTTTATATGAAAATGATGTTTTAATTTGTTTACATTTTAAAAAATCAATTATAAAACACATATTTTTCTTTATATGGCCAAAATATAGAAGAAAAATAATTAATTCATCTCTTTGTGCAACATGTAATGACAAAAAGGTATGAAGATCTATGTCCATATCTAATTTGTGTTATATAATACCATAAGTTTATCTTCAGTTTACTAGGTGTGAAGGACTTTATGGTGATTGGTTTTTGAGTGTCAATGGAAGTAGCTTTCTCTGTAGGTAAGTGAAGTCTGAGCACATCTTTCTGATCTGTTGTTTTTTGTTGTTTACCTGGTGGATTTACTGGTGGATTGTTGGTTTGCATAGCCAGGCACTCCTCTGTTTGTTCCTTTTTCCGGGGGGTTGAAAACAAAGATTTTTTTGTCTTTCTGGGTGTTGGCGAATGCACTATGGTTCTTTTATCTTGTGCCTTTGGAGTTCTAATTATATTCATTTGTAAAGACTGTTTGTGTTTCTCCCTAAGAATTCCCAAGACCTCATTTTTTTCCCTCCTTAGAGAGTCCATTTTATGTATCAAATCCATGTCAATTTTGTACAGTTTATTAAGCTTCGTAAAGCAAAATCCACAGACATATTTGGAAAGACCATCGTTGGGGGGGGGGGGGGCACTATAATCGAGGACTTGTGTCAATTGGTTAAAAACACCGAAAGTTTCTCCAAAAATCACGCGTCTGTGCTTCTTTGGAAGTTCGCAACAGCATACACGACAAACTTCCATGGGCGCAGCCATATTTGTTTACAATAGCTTGATACAAACGCTGCGATTGGTCAGCTTATCGTAGCTGTAGCCAATCATAGAACAGATCGTATCACCGTATTTTCGTAATGAAATCTGCCAAGGGTTTATGGGGAGCGGAGTGGACCGAAAACCCTTGGCTAGCGAAGATGCCCGATCATGACAAGGAGCACACGGCGGGTGTGACCGGTCGGCAGGGGATGCTCACTCCTCCATGGCACCTGATCCCACCTCTGATGTTTGGAGGTCCGTGTTTGCTCTGCTCCTATTTTGTATTGTATAATGGACTTTTGAGCTTGAATACTGTTCGTTATCTCCATATATTTCATTAGAAAGTATCATTCAAAAATTAAAGTTTCTCTAATTTCCTAAGTATTACACTTTTAATCGCTCCCAGAAAACGGAATTTCCAATCGGTATATTCAAAATTTTAACGTAAGCCAAACATAGACGAAAATATATACTCTCATCTTTGACAGTAGTTCCCACTTCAGATGTCTCAATGAGGCAATCTATATTAATAATGAGTCTTTTGAGATCTGTATGTATCACTTTTTGCTATATTCACCTATTCCATTAGTTAAATAAATTATTTCACGTATCATAACTGTACTTTTAATAAACTTATAATAGTAAATTGTATCTTAAATCTGCTGGACTAGTTATTATATGTTAATTGTACACTTTGAAATGAAAAATATAGAATTTCTGCTACATTTTCTGTGCAGGATTAAAACAGTTGTATACACATAGCATGGATACTCTCCATCCTGTCAGGGCAGTGGAGCGAGGATATACTCCTTTGTCACACAGAGAACGTTAGGTCAGAAGTGGAAGACAGTCTGATTACAGTACGCCACAAAGAAATGGAAGACAGTCTGATTACAGTACGCCACAAAGAAATGGAAGGCAGTCTGATTACAGTACGCCACAAAACATTGATTTGGAACCATATACAAGCACTGTCTTATATAATGCAAGAAAGGCTTGACATGGAAAAAATGGTATATATAAGTATATTGTAGAGTGTGGTGAACTCAGACCTCTTCTAAAAGTTCCTCGGAATTTTTAAATTTATACACCACTTATATTTCTTTTAGGGATTATTGATTTAAAAACTTTTATTTCTTTTTTCCGGAAAGAATAAAAACAAGTGCCAGAGTTAAGAGCACATTTTCCTTGTAGAGAAATCCCTTGATAAACTTTAACAAATACGGCACTTATACTGTCAATGAATAAGTATATAAAAATTATCGAAGCAAATACACTGCAGGGAACTAATTTTGTTACATTAATCAGCATCAGCATAAGCGAAATAAGCATCAGCATACAGATAACATCAAGATCAACATTTAAAAAACAGCATTGCCATGATCAGCATCAGCAAGCAAAGTATAAAACTAGCATTGACCTACTTAAAATCAGCATTGACATACTAGCATCAGATCATCAATGAGGTTTTATTCAGTTAAAAATTAAAAACAGGGAAAGAAAATTAGTTAAATTATTCAAATTATTCAAACTTAATGAAATATTATGATCAAATGATATTATAAGGCACTTTTATTGCTTTAAAAGGCAATGATGAAATTCAGTTATCTACTTCCGGCAGCATGATAGTACTTCTGGTAGCATTGACCTTATCATAAAACAGCATCAGAATAAGAATTACTGGCATTAAATATGCAAGCAAAGGAAGCATCCAAATCAGCATTGATGCTGTAACAAAATTAGTTTCATGCACTGTGCACTTAAATCCTTCAATGATTTACATTATTGATGAGACCTTAAAAACCGAGGTCCCGTGTCACGACAGGCGTTGGCACGATAAAGATCTCTCACTGCTCAGTGGCCCTGAGTGCCGAGTAATGGTCAAAATTTGAAGCCCTTCACCGGTATATGGTGACGTCACTATTTACATTATTGATTTTTTAATCAGAGATAATTGTCACAGAGCTATCCCCTAATTTGAATGAGAGTTAGAAAGTCTGATAAGGTTGCAGGTGCACAACGCAGGCGTTGTAGCCCTGTTTCTCAGGGGTGTCATTTTAGCTAGTTAGAGAGAAAGAGAGTTAAGCAAGCATGAATTTATAATTTGTAAGTATGTCAGTTCTGTTGTCGTATGACAGAGTTCTGAGAGATGAAAGTGAACATTAGGTTGATTTGTGTGAGAAACTGGGGAGTAAGAGATTTGCTATGGCCATGCCCGGAGAACATGTGAGAAAAGAATAGAGAGTGAGTTTGGAAGTCAATGAGAGTGGATGTATCTTATAATTGTGAACTTTGTGTATTAGTATAATTATATTGCGTGTGTTGTAAATATGTAAATAATCTATGTAAATAAAAACAATCGTAAGTATTAATCAGTGCCAGTGACAGGGAGGACGCCAGTCACATAATTAATGGGATGAATCCAAAAACAAATATGAAACCGAAATGTGTGATCATGGTAACGTTGTTGAACATTTTAAATAAAACTGCTTCCTCAAGTAGTGAGTTCTGAAGGTGAGTGATTTTTCACTAAAGGGCGTTATGACATTTCTTATTAATCTATTATTTAAATATCCTACTTCAATTTCACTTTAGATCGGAGAAGGATTGATTTTTTTTATACTTGTATATGATTGTATACATTTTTTGACGCTTTAATTTCTATTAAAAGAAAGGTGCAATAGACAAAATATAAATTTGCAGTTCATTTAATTGATTACGTGATCTTCTTCAAATAAATATCTATCTGTTCTTTATTTTTACACTACCTGATGTTCTTTGGTGTTACAATAAATACTTTGACTCCATAACCAATACCTGTAGAGGTAATCATTTCTCACAAAACTTAAAAATGCAACCGCTATGAAAAATGTAAATTAATTGTAATGGATTGTATTTGTGAAAAAAAATCTAAATTATCATAGATTGCATTATTTTCCTCTTTTTGTTTAGAATACAACCCTGGAAGAATAGGATGGGATTGTAAACAATCTTGTGTGGAGGGATATTACGAAAGGTTGTGCAAATTGTTCTTTGTTTCTTTGTTGTGATCCGGAAGTTGGGTGCCTGTTAGAAGCTACAAAGAGTAACGAATCAACAGCTTCAAGTATATATTCTAAAATCTTTCTTCTAAACTATCAATAAGATAGCTGTTGAAGAAATAGTTATGCATTCGAATACTATGGCATAATTGTTTATGGTTTATTGATCTTTTAAAGAATACAATAGGAACACTTGCAAAAACAACACCTCAACAAAAAAATTAAGTCCTCAAATTTTCTGTAATGGCAAATAAAAGAATCAAGGTTGAATATACATTTGTGACAAAGTATGTTTTGGGAGATTTTTTAAAAATAATATACTTTAAATACCGTGCTCATTTCAAAGATTACATGATTTTTAAACGGATATCATGACTTTCAACTCTTGATTTAAATGTCCTTGGAGCCAGGACCTATAGAGCTAACGTATAATTAGTATGATAAGGAAAAAATCCTAAAATAACAACACAGGCATGATTTTAAAAGTATATATATCATCATAAAACAATAAATCAGAGCTATAAAGAAACACGCACACAGAAATCAATTAGTACACACCATATAATCTCTCTCTCTCTCTCTCTCTCTCTCTCTCTCTCTCTCTCTTGGTACATTCATCTCCCATCATCGATTCAAATGCATTTGATAAAATATTTTCCATTTATCATTCAAACAGATAAGAATACTTCACGTTGGTATTCAAAACTATTTTTTGGAGGATGACTCAAAACTAGAAGTAATTCAAATGCCATAAAAATTTTCTTTATCATTCAAAGTTTTCGGAAAATAAAAACTTTAAATTGTTGATATACTAATTCTATATTTTCTTCCAAGAATATACTAGCTATAGTTTACATTTTTACTCACCCAAATTAAAAATTAATCACGTTTAATGATAAATGCCGTATAAGAAATTTGAAATTTACACTCTTTAATGACAATAATTTGTTTAAAAGTATTTTTGAACTATTAATTAGTTTTTTTATATGTTTGGGTCATATATGAAAAATGAAAATAGTAGAAAGATATTGCAATCTATGTCGTAACAACTGCAATTGATGAGTATTTTTTTTTAATTTCTGATTGAGGGCTGTGCATTCATTCTTATTCTGGTGCTGTGGTATGTTTCAAAAATTATTTTTATTGTTTCATTGAATTATTCAAACGAATATATCCTTTACAATTTTGAAGCTAAAGAATTCCATTAGCTTTCTTGTTAACTTAAATACAATCAAATAGATGAAGTTAATTGTAGTTGAACAATATCTTATTTATTCATTTTTTCATTTCATGTAAGAACTTTATTACCAAATACAAATGGTACTTCGAGTTCGTTGCCACGAAGCTCTCAGAGAGGAATATACATATTTTATCGATAAGTTTATTAGGAAAACCTACATATAGTCTTCCTATATAAAAATATATTCACAGCTTATAGTGTTACCTCTGATTTACCATTATTTCAATGACCATTCAAACTTATTTATGTACAGGCTGCTGAAATCGCTTTGTTTTTCTTCTTTTTTTTTAACATCGCGCTCGATGCTATAGGATTTTCTAGAAGCTTCCTTCAATATTAAGATCGGTGAATGAGGAAAATAATTTGCACATTTCCCATTTTAATCAGTTATCACAACTTATATCTTTTATGTCATTTAAATCAAGTTTTGATTGAATAATTCAGTGATGACGTTTTATGAAATAAATAAACAATTATTTGATTGATGTCAGTTTCATTAAAAATTGCCAGTAACTTAGATCCGCCGACCGGAACTGCCACCGTACTCACGTTTTTGCTATTTCATGACTGTTTATAGAAAATGAAAGTAGACTTTTAATTTAATGTACGATACTGACAATGCGAGTGAAATCTGAAAATAGTTTACGGACATCATCTTGTATCTAGCATACTCATAGAGGAGTTTGTAAGAACTCTGGTGCACCCGTTTTGGAGTTTATTTTCAAAATTTATTAATTTATAAGTATAGGTGGTTGTGTGCTTCATGTAATAAGAATATTATACGGTTCAATACAAATCTGACCCAGTATGTGTTAGGTATTAAAAGGCATGCTTTCTGAACGATTCAAACTCTGTGCAGTAAGCCCATACAAAAATTTTACTTATATGGCAGTGACGTCATATTTATAGAATGGCCCTCCTTTATGCCATCATTTTCATGAGTATTACATTCAAATATTCATCTATTATATAGTCAGATTTTAAACCTTTTTGAAAATATCTAATTTTACGATCATAATGAAGCCAAAACCGTACTTTCTTCGTAATTTATTGAAATTACCACATGGCTGACAGCAAAAACATGAGCACTTAATTTACAATTGTTTTAAGTGTGGCCTTCTTATTTGATCAGAGATATCAGCGATAACTTGCAAAAATTTTGTATCATTTTGCATGAGGGTCGTGTGTGTGTAAAAGGATCATTGTAGCTTTTGCAATCAATTTAGGTATAATATCTCGAAGCGTACAAGAAAACCAGATGTCCACATATGCTTAAACAACATTTTCAAAAATCCTAACTTGTTATGAGAGTAAAAATACTTTTATGAGTATTCTACATTGGTATGCCTAAACAACATTTTTCGAAAATCTCAAACTTTTATATGAATTTAAATACTTTCATAAGTATATTCATTTATCTTTAATGGAAGTTTGAATGAAAACTAATGCAAACTTTATAATATCTTAGTAAATTAAAAATTTCTAAGATTTTTATGTAAATTGACAGATAAAAAAAAAATAAAGATAACGAACAGTAATAAAGCTCAAAAATCCATTGAAAAACAATACAAATGGCTGCAGAGCGACATAGACATCAGAGGTGAGATCAGGTGCTATGGATGAGTTAGCATCTCCTTTCGATCTGTCGGTTGACCGACAACCCAGTGTGTGCCTCTTGTCGTGATCGGACAAACGGGAAAATATTTCAGTTTACAAATTTATGTGCATTCAGAGAGAAATGAACTGTTTTGCACGTATCTTTATATTTTTTCTGAGAAATTAGCAAGATTTCGAATATATGTGTATCTCCCGTAGCTTTGATAGTGTTTCACTGGGTTATTTTTTCAGAGGTGGGATCAGGTGCCATGGAGGAGTGAGCATCCCCTGCCGACTGGTCACACCCGCTCTGTGCTCCTTGTCATGATCGGTAAATAACGGAAAAATCCGTCGTCAATTCAGTGTGTAAATAATGGCCTAACCATTAGTATGAAAAACGTCAGTCAGCATGACTTACTGATAGATTGTATTTGCTGACAAAATCATTGCATCGACCATGGAACTTACGAAATGATGAATCTTTCTTTTGTGTAAAAATTAAACATTTTTATACAAGCACGATGAATAATTGGCAATCCATAGCTGTGATGGAGCGTGGATATACGGTTTTGTCAAACGGTGATCATGGGATTAGAAGTGGAAGACATTCTAATTACAATACGCCTCTAAGAAATGGAAGACAGTCTGATTATAGAACGCCACTAAGAAATGGTAGACAATCTGTTTAGAGTACGCCAATAAGAAGTGGAAGCCAATCTTATTACAGTACATCACTAAGAAACGGTAGAGTACGCCACAGAATCTTGATGCAGAACTGTATACCAAAACCTTATAAAGCTGTTTGACAAAGTAATTTGTCAATCAAATGCAAGTATTGATTAATATGACGTATTGATACAGATACAGACACAGGAAAGATGAATTGTTTGTATAATAATAAATGGAACCATGTTTATTACTCAACTATCAATGCACGTTATGATGAAGCACTGCCATATGAATCTATATAATGGAGGAGAGAATTTTCAACTATATGTTTTTGTCTGTCTGATATATGCAATACCATATAGAAAGACAATGACTTCATTAGTTACATTTGTTAACACAAGTAACTATTATATATATTTCCTTTACTCTACTCTAGTAAGGAAGATAACTTGCATTATTTAATAATTACTCTCCATTTGACAAAAGTAAATTATCAATCTTTGAAGGAGGTTGTGTTTGCATTGTTGAATAACGTTACTAGATTGGAAAGCATAACATGACTGTGTAGTTTTAAAACAAAGCATATGAAAAAGAGGAGAGTATGAAATAGATTATTTGTATTTATAAAGTTATAATCATCATATTTCATTGTTAAGAAATAGAGAAATATTTCCGTATACATGTATTTCAATCTGGATAAATTTTTATTCGATCAAATTTTGTTAGAAATAGGAATAAAAAATAACGACGTGATACATGACTTACATGATGAATTTTTCAAAGTTTCAAAATGAATGTCAATGTGTTTAAAACTATGTGATAAAAATTAATTACAAGAAAATTCATTTTATAATTAACCATTAAAATTATTTCATAAACTCATCAAGGAAAATGTGAAAATAAATAGGACATGACTCGCAAATTTCGCGTTAAAAAGGAAGTTCCTGCACGTTAAGCAGAAGAGGAATTTATGTATACCAAACTAACACACAATTTAATAAAAATGAAAATAGCATTTTTATGGTTAAGACTAAGTTAATTTTAGTTGAAACCCTAACACTGACGGTTAAAACATTAAATTTATGCCCTCTCTCAAATCTATTAATGATGCTATATTCCTATACTTATTTCTATACCGATTTCCATCTTAACACAATTTTGTATGCATGGTTTAAATTTTCATACATTTTAATCCTGACTTAAAAGTTCTTGTGTCCAATATACAGAATTGAGAGACCCACAAGTTGCAAAAGGGAGAAAACCCCTGAACGGCAACATTGGTGTCAGAAGTGGGATTCATAATTTTTTTCCCATTTATCTGATTGGACATAAGACAATTAAATAAACAAGTAAATTCTTTGTATCATAAAGTAAATTAATACTCCCAAAAAGAAATTTTAAAACAAAATGTCAAGGGAGAATAGTCATTTAGAAGATTCGGGAGGGATTGTTTTCAACCCAAGAGTCCCGGCAGAAGAGAAAATTTATCTCATGAAGAAATATTTCAAGATGAATCTTTGTCAAAACAAACATCAGCTGACAGTGGTTCTGAAAATATAAATGAACTATTGTTAAGAGCAGGTGAAAATATGAATAGGGATGTTCTATGCATGAAGCAAAATTTTGAAGAACAATTATCACAAATGAGACAAGAGTCCCATCAATTACATAGGAGGTTATCATCACTTGAAAATCCTGGGGAAGCTATTGGTCTACATAAATATGGGAAATCTTCTGAAAATCCCAGTCAATCACCATTTCTAGGGGCTGAGGAGAGATTTGAGTCTTTCAGAAACCCAACATCCCCAAATTTAAGGGTCAACAGAAACGACAATAGCCTACATTCTCCCAATCAAGTGAAACCAACAGTCTCAATAAAGCCACAAACATATGTTGGGGTAGAAGATTACTGAGCCCAATTTCACGTTTTGGTAGTATTGCATGGTTGGGGTTATAGGACAAAATCTTTTAATCTTATCAGTAGTTTAACTGGGAATGCTAGGGCAATTCTAGAGGAGCTCAATGAAGCTCAGATTAGGGATTTTGACTCCCTTTTAAAGTACTCAGTATGCTTTTTGGGTCAGTAGAAAGGTCAGAGATGTATCGTGCAAGACTGGAAAATAAGATTAAGGGAGAAAATGAGTCCTATTAGAATTAGCTCAATCAATAAAGAAATTAATCAGACAATCCTACCCGACTGCTGATCCTAACCTTACAAACATTTTAGGCTTATTGTAATGGGAATGAATCCCATATGTCCGAACATTTACAACAAATTTTAGATAGGGTTCATTCTAGTATTAGTTCTGAAGAAAAACAGAGACTAGCAAATCTTTCAAGGGAATTTCAAACAAGTTTCTCCCTTTTATCATCAGACATGGGTTCAACAGATTTAGTAGAACATAAAATAAATACGGGAAATGCACTCCCGATTAAGCAACCTCCTAGACGTATTCCTTAAGCTAAAATGGCTGAAGCTAAGCAGGAAATAAATAATATGTTAGATAGGGGGTGATAGAGACATCAGACAGTCCATGGAGTTCTCCCATAGTCCTTGTTAAGAAAAAGGATGGGACAATCCGGTTCTGTATAGACTATAGAAAGTTAAATGATGTCACTATTAAGGATAATTATCCCATTCCAAGAATTGATACAACATTAGATGCCTTGTCAGGTTCAAAATTGTTTTCTACCATGGATCTTAAGAGTGAGTATTGGCAGGTAAAAATGTAACATGAAGATAAACCCAAAACAGCCTTTTCTATACCTGGGGGAGGACATTGGCAATTTTTAAGCATGCCATTTGGTTTATGCAATGCCGGAGCAACGCTTGAAAGACTAATGGAAAGGGTCTTACCAAATCTTTCATGGAAAATATGTCTTGTTTATTTAGATGACATAATAATATTGTCTAAAACTTTTGAAGAACATATTGACAATTTAAGACAAGTTTTTGGGCGACTGAGGGAGGCTAATCTAAAAATGAACCCAAAGAAATGTGTTCTCTTGCGAAAAGAAGTGCCCTTTATGGGACATATTGTGAATGAAAATGGGATAGCCACTGATCCCTCAAAGATTGACTTAGTCAACAATTGACCCATCTCTAGAAATGTTAAGGAAGTTAGAAGCTTCTTAGGTCTTTGTTCATACTATAGAAAATTTATATACAAGTTCACAGATATGGCTAGGCCATTACATAAACTTACAGAAGCAAATAGGAAGTTTATATGGGATAATGATTGCCACGTAGCATTTGACACGCTAAGGCGAGCATTAACTAGTTCTCCCATTCTATCCTATCCAAATGAAGGAGGCTTATTCATTTTAGATACGGATGCTTCTAACATAGGTTTGGGAGCCGTTCTTTCCCAAGAGCAGGGGGGAGTAGAAAAAGTTATAAGTTGTTACAGTAAGACATTTAGTGCAGCGGAACGCCGCTATTGTGTCACCTGAAGGGAGCTATTAGCTATAGAGAATTCAATAAAGCACTTTCACCACTATTTATATGGGAAAAGATTCAAAGTAAGAACAGATCATGGGTCCTTAACTTGGTATTGAATTTCAAAAATCCAGAGGGCCAAATAGGACGTTGGTTTGAATTTTTGTCTTCATACAATTTCAAAATTGAATATCGAGCAGGTCGCACTCATAATAATGCGGACGCCTTGTCCCGCAGACCTTTTCTCAAGGAAGATCTAGACTGTAAGCATTACAGTAAAGCAGAAGACAAATTTTCTTTCAATCAACATTTGCATAATGAACCTCCCAATGATAACCAATGCCAAGTAGAAAGGGAAATATCTGAAACTGAACATAGTGATCTAAGAAATAGTTCCAACATTAATAGTGGTGTATCTGAGAACTGTGCTGTTACCACAAGGTCTAAGGAAACTCCCTCTGGGATAAGCCTTACACAACTAGAACAAACTAAAATTCTTCTAGAAAATGAAAAACCAGAAGATAGTATTAAGGCTTTACAAAGTAAAGACTCAGATCTAAGGGAAGTAATAAAATGGGTCAAAGCTAAACAGAAACCTCTTTGGGTAGACATATCAAATCTGAGTGAAACATGTAAGTATTACTGGGCAAGACTTGATTCTCTGCATTATATAGATGAGATATTGTTCATAAATGGAAAAGTGTGCAACCAAAATTTCAAACTGTTCTCCCAAAATTTATCATTGGGAAAGTATTGAAAGACATACACTGTAATATAACGGGCGGTCACTTGGGGTTTAATAATGCTCTGTCGAAGGCCCGAGTGTCAAATGTGCAGCTAGAAAACCTCAAAGGCCCAGTTATAAAAATGCCTGGTTGGTGCTCCTATGGAAAAGATGGGCAGTGAATATATTAGGTCCTTTACCAATGACTCACAGGAAAAATTCTTATCTTCTAGTCGTGGGAGATTACTTCACCAAATGGGTTGATGCTATCCCTATTAGAAATAAGAAATCAGTTACAATAGCCCAGAAAGTAATCAATCATGTGTTCTCCATTTTTGGAGTCCCAATGCAAATCCATTCAGATCAAGGGCAAACTTTTGAATCTGATGTTTTCAAAGAAATGTGTAAAATACTAGGTACAGAAAAAACCCGTACTACTCCCTACAGACTTCAGTCTGATGGGATGATAGAAAGGGCAAATAGAACCATTGAAACTATTCTTTCAGCATTTTATAGCAAAAATCAAAAAGATTGGGATGGCCTGATACCCTTACTCATGTTGGCATACCGGTCATCTCATGAGGCCACAGGGGTAAGCCCATGTGAAATGATATTTGGGTGATCAGTCACACTCCAAGTAGATTTAGTGCTTGGTAGAGTAGACCCTGAATAACATAACTCAAAATTAAGTTCTGAATACACCCAAAATATATCAGAAAATTTAAATAAAATACATGAATTTGCCCGAAATAAACTAAGCATATCTTTTGATGCTATGTTAGGGGATTACAGTACAAAAATTCACCAAAATCATTACAACCCAGGAGATGCTGTATGGGTCTTTTTCCCAAATCAAAATATGAGACTCCACAAAAAGTTATCCCTTAAATGGAAGGGACCATTCATTGTTTTACAAAGAATAAATGATGTTCTTTACAGAATAGGGAAAAATGCAAAACATAAGGGGAGTATTATCCACCATAATTGATTAAAACCATATCTGGGAACAAATAAGCCCAAGTGGTTCAAGTTTCATGCATAGACTCCCTCTGTAAATTAAAAAATGGGATATTTGTATAATACAAATAGGTAACTCCCAAGCAATTTAATATCTGCCATTATTTATTTATAAGATCCAACGTTTCAAATGCCTTTTATGCGATGGAAAGGAATTTACGCAATTAGTCCATGCAGAAAGACATATTACAAGCTGCCACTCTGGATTCGCTTTCAAGTGCACTGTGTGCGGGCTACTCCTAAACCGCAGAGACATGAAATACACGTGCCCCAATTATACACTACAAATAATCAAGAAATCTACTGGAACATACACTGACAAGGAGAAAAGGGAATTTGAAAATTTTCAGAAAGAAAGGGGAAAGCACGTAGAACCTTATATGAAGGAAGTTAAGCCTAACATGTATAATGGAGGAAAAGGGATGAAAAGAACCCTCCTGATCGACGCTCCTACAAACGTTAAATCCCGTAAAGTGACAAAAACTTCAACCCAGAAACCTACCAAAGACAAACCTATTCCAGCTATCTCCGACAACTCGGCTACTTCAGAAATCCAAAACCAAACACCTCCCGTCTCCGGTGAGATCATCATCACAACTCAGGAAGCGAAACCAGCTGCTTCAGGGGATGCTGCCCATCCTCCGCCACGACAAGTACCTGCCAAAGTACGCCGTCTATCCGGTTCATCATCCTGCTCATCCAGTTTCTCCTCTTCTTCATCATCATCATCTTCTTCATCTTCCGGATCATCCCAGCCCGAGAAGGCCATATCACTGGGTGATCCGGAAACCTACATGATCCCCGAAGTGGAGGACGCCCCAGAGTACCACCTGACTGACAGGATGATAACTATCTTACGAGGAATCCAATCAGCTCAAAAACAACGTGTAGTTCTAAACGTAGGAGGAAAAAAAATCGAAACAAGCAAGACAACCTTTCAAAACGATTCAGACTCACTTTAAGCCGCCATGACGACTCAAGATTTCCCCTTTATCCCTTATAACAAAGAGCACGTGCCAGTGTATTTTATTGACAGGAACGCCCGGTTCTTTGATTTTATCTTAGACTTTCTACGGGATCCATCTCAAGTGGAGCACATCCTCCCCATAGATAATACCATACTAAAACAGAACTTCGTGAAGACGAGCTATTACCGCCTTGAGGGATTATGTAATGCTATTAAGAAGAAAAACCAAGTGTTAATGAACAAAGCCTCATTGTGGGGCAATTGAAAACATTTTTTTATGTGATATGAAATAGATTGTGCCAAGGATTGCGATCTGAGTAACGTGTGTGTAATCCGACAATGCTGCTAAATTTCATGTGATAAGTATTAATCTAACTTTGATATATTTATTGGAAAATTGTTGTAAATATTATCATTTGTTGTTAATTTATTTTGTTCTTTACGCAGCACAGTTAAGCTGCAGTAAGGAGGCGGGGCCTAATTTATACTGGAAATGCTTACTATGACATCACACAAAAATATAAGTTCTTCAAATTACCACAAAATGAATGATTTGCTATTTTAAACTGTTGAATAGATTTAAACTACATCAATACTAACTATTGCATGCATTATTGTCGTTGGTTAAATCTCAATGCACTTGTCAATGTGACGTCATATCGTAAAATTTGACGCTGTTTGTATGCAGTGAGAGGCGGATCAAGTTATATTTATACAATGAAAAATGTATTTTGTAATTAAATAAAATATAAATTATAGATATATAAGAGGCCATTGACTTGGATGCGATGTCTATTTTATGACTTTATTCATATACTTCCCGTACATTCCCTATACAAGCGAAACTGTCGTATATTTGTATGCAGATTCATTGAAGGGTAATAGAAGGGTCGTAATAAATCGATATATTGCAAGGGCATACCCTCAATGAATTATGACAAGCTTTTACACATAAACTCAAGAAGTATGAAGATATTTGAAAAGTGCTGCGAACCTTTTGAAATCTTGCAAATGAATTAATTATATCTATATTTAATGTACTTGAATAGCAAAATATTCAACATACGGTCTAACAAATGTAATTTATCAATTAGATAGTAGAATCTATATAGGTTCGCAGCACTTTTCACAAACTACAAAGAGTGTTGAAAATAATTATATGTTAAGCTTAGATTTTTAACATTGTTATGCCCTTGCAATATTAGAATTTATAGATGACCTCAATACTTCAGGTATATTTGCTAAAATCACGTGACGCCACATCACGTGACAAGTCCAAAATAAGAAATCTAATCGTCCTCAACATGTAGTTTTCAACCACATTGCATTTTCCAGATAATAGTAAAGTCCTAAAAAGAAACGCCCATTCTTGTAAAGAATGTATTTTCTATCTAAAAAATTCGCCGATATTTCTATTTGGCACCTTCACTGTACTGCGTAATGTATCTTTGTTGACTATTGAATGTTATGAATTGTATAGATATATATCCCTGTTACATTTATTAATTTAATGCCAAATGAAGTAATTATACCATGTTTAACTGTTGTAAGTCGTTTTTATTCCCAAAGACTAAGGGAAGCATAAAACTTGTACCTACTTTTTAATATTCCCTGGATTAAAGTATAAAACCATTCGAGGACGAATGTTCTTCACATGGGAGGGGGCCGTGTTACGGTTCCCCTAATTATTCCCGTCACTGTGGGTTATACTTTCTGTGGAAACACGTAGTACAAGTTAAATCACACTCCCTACAACATATGGGACTTTAGGACGACAAATAATATGTTCTATTAATTGTATATATCTTATGATCAATCAGTATATTTACCGTGTTCATTATTGGGATGAAGTCGGTAATTAGCGTTACCCGAAATTCCTCGGTATCTTACATATATATCATTCCCAGATCACTTGTTATCTCTTAACGATTATATTTGTGTATACAAAG